GGGTAGGCTTTTTGACTCCGGAGGTACACGGGCTGGGTCTCCGAAAATGAGAAAATAGTGTTTTGTTACGATTTATTTTCTACGCTGGCAGATTTGTCTTCGGCGCTTCTACTTTGTTTGGCGTGGTTTGTGTCCCTCCTCTGCGAATTCGCACGAATCTACTCGAAGGCAGAGCGGGCGGGCGTTGTTTCCATTCGGTCGCGTGGTGGCTCTTCAGCTCTCTTTTTGCTAGATGCATCTGCCTCGTACGCTTTATTATGTTGTCGACCCTCCAGGCTAGACTTAAGCCATCCGTCTTTTCTGTGAATGTATATTATACAAAGCAACTGACTTTCTTGCCATATATATATATATATATATATATGTGTGTGTGTGTGTGTGTGTGTGTGTGTGTGTGTGTGTGTGTGTGTGCGTGTGCGTGTGCGTGTGCGTGTGCGTGTGTGTGTGTGTGTGTGTGTGTGTGTGTGTGTGTGTGTGTGTTTTCATGGTTGCATTTTACCTTTTGTTGTGAATAATAGTTTAGTCGAAGTAGCAGTAGCGGGCTATGATTCCGCAGAGCTGGCGTGGCTTCGAAATATACTAAGCACAACTACCCAAGCAGATCTTCCTGTTGTCGGGAGCGATTCTGTGCACTTGCGAAACCCCTAAAGTTAGGTATGAATTCCGTACCGATTAGTTCGGCGGTTGCTGAAACCTAACTTCTTTTCAGCAGGGGTTAAGGAAGAAGTGAACTTCATAAACACGGTTCTTGTCGCATAAATTATTTTGAAGTAATAACAACATATATAGGGTGTCTGAAGTCACCAGACTCGACCTGAAATGGACCGCAAAAATAGACGCCTGCACGAAACAATCGAAACTTATCACCGAAGGTGTATTTGACAGGTCGGTTCTTTCTTGTAAAATTACGAAGATTAGCTCCCTTACTGTAAAAAAATAGGGCCAAGAAGCTAGCAGATTTGATTAAAAACAAAAGCCGTGAAACCTCCACTTAGGCGGTTTGTGCGATTGAGTTCAACGCCCAGGGGACATTATGTGGGTGGCTAACCTTTGCGATAAGTCGGCTAATTATTTAAAATTTACTAATTAACTTTTTAAGTAATGAAATCGACATATGGTTCCAATTAGAAACTTGCTGAGCGTCGTCCAAAACCCTAAATCAGTAATTCTTAGACATACTTTTGTTCGCGTGAGGATCGCAGTAGTGCGCTGAAATCACCACTCGTGGAGCAGGTACAAAGCGGGGGCTAGATAAGAGGCGGAAAAATAGCGCGGGCGCCTTACCGAAACCGCTCGCCTTGTACCTGCTCCAGGAGTGGTAACTTTAGTGCACTATACTACGCTTCTCACGCGCTGAACGTTTTTTTCTGAAAATGGCTCATTTAAGGGTTTTAGATGACGCTCAGCAAGTTTCTAATTGGAACCATATGTCTATTCTGACTAATTAAAAAGTTAATTAGTGAATTTTAATTAATTAGCCGTCTTATCGCAAAGATTCACCACCCACATAATGTCCCCCTGGGCGTGTAACTCACTCGTACACCCTGTATATATTACCAGTGTTCAATAGGGCCACGAGTCGACATCGCGCGCGACCACCGCGCAAGGGCATGACGTTCGAACCCCACCGGCCTAGGTCTTCATTTTATATTTTCGTAACTCTTCTAGAACGTTCTGGTGGGATCTTGTAACGCATCGCTTGTTCCTGTGCGTTCTTCGCCATGGCTCTCCAAATGTTTTGGATAAGGGGACGGATTTGGAGGCACTCGCAGTTTCGAGTGTCGGAATGAAAATTAAAATATGTAATTAAAAAGAAAAGCAAAGTAATTAAATAGTTATCGTTATTTCTGCCATCTTCGTGTGCGCGTATTACGCGAGTCGCAGCGCCGTGTTTTTTTTTTTTTTTTTACATGGGTTGCTGAAAGCGAGCTGCGGGCAGTGCGTCATGGAAGGACTGCGGCCAGCCGCGGGCCGGGGTTTGGAGGCCCCTGTTCTAGACTATACACTCTTTCTAAAAGAAGCCGAGACTGGCTTCTTTTTCTTTCTTTTTCTTTAAGTTTGTAGGCAAACGTTCGCCTCGTTAAATGGTTATGAGCAGTTCCATATTCATCCACTTTTTATACTTGTGAGAATTTAATATACGCCACTGCTTGAGGCCCAAGACTGTTTTCGGCCCGTGCTAAATAAAAGCCATCGAAAAAAAACACACAAAAAAGAATAATTTCTTTGGTTTAACGTCGTATAATCCCCGTCGGAGGAGTAAACGTATTACATACCGTGTATGAAAAAAAAAAAAAAAAAACAGATTGGAATTAGTAGGCGCTGCGGATCAAAGTGATTTCCGCAAATTGCATTTTTTCATGCATATGTTTTTTTGTTGTTGTTTTTTTCCGGCGGCAAATGACATTGCCTAATTATTTTTTATTTATTTTTATGCGGAATAGTTCGTATTTGTGAACACAACTAAAGTTTTATTGAGATGCCTGCTATCAGTCCCACGCTATTGCAGTCTTCGGGAATATTACAGTTGTTTTTTCTAGTTGGCGGATATTCCAAATATCGCAAAAGCGGTTTATTGGACCCAATACACCTAATAATAAGTAGTTAATGTGCCTAACGATGTAATTAGTATATATTGCTGTTGTTTATAGATTTTCAGTCAATACGTAGTTCTCGGCAAAATTCAGATCGGATTTCAGCCGAACAACTGAATTTCGCTGGAAACAGCCGAGAGTTGCGGCAAGAGGGGAATGTTCCGCGATCTTGGCGATAATTGCTCACGTGAAATTGCTGGGGGTTTACATCGTAAGGCAGCGAATGGCATCGCAACCTAACATTAAAAAAACACTAACACCTCCAATTTGTTTTTTTTTTTTTTTTGTTAGAACGTTGTACAAATGATATTTTGCCACAGCGTCAAGGATATTTTTAATAAAGTAAAAGAACGCAGTGATGTGATTGCTGCGCCAATTGCGCCAAACTGCGCCAAGAGGTGAACCCTGCTACATCCTGCTAAATTTTGCCAAAATATGGGTAATCTGCGCCAAGCCTGCGCCGAAGGAGCAATTTCGGTCGCCTTTCAAAACCGAAACTAAACTGAGAACCGTAATTGCGCATGCGTCAGCTAGGTGGCATAAGCGGCCGCCCTACACAAAGTACCCTGCATCAATGTCTGGTCTTGCATATTTTTTCCCGCCGTCTTAACCTCCTTGCCGCCGTCTCTGGTTTCGTGCCCTCATGCCCAACGTTGCTCCTGCCCTCGTCCCTCGTCGTCTGGAAAATCTCGTCTCGCGTCTTTTTTTAATTTTTTTGAACGATAGACGCGGGCGCGTGCGGGTGCCGCGACGCTAGTGTGCCGGGTGCCAGCCGTGCCGTCATGCTGTGAAACAAAACCATGTTTTTGGGCGACGAGAGTTACTTTGTGAGCTGAAGCGCTGGCGCGACCACAGTCACCGTGGTCGCGCGACGTCGAGTGCTGCCGTCCCCACGTCGCTGCAGATATGGCGCTTTCTAAACTTGTTCTTCGACATTCCTAGCCTTCTTTAAATCATACTCTACTACAAAAAGCCCTCTAACTCAAAGACTGCTTGTCGAAATACTGATTACCTAGGTTCCTTTCGGTGGACTTCCTTTCAAGAGGGAGCCCGGTACGTGAAAAATTTGCCGCGAAAGAAAGTTGGTGAAGAGAAGTGAGCTAAAGCAAAGAAGGCAATGTCTGCACGTTGAACCCGCACAGCGCGCTTATTTGCCTCGAGTTTGGTCGTTGCACAAAAGCGCTCCAAAAACGTTTTGACCCTGGCTCGCGATGTCATGCATCGATGCACTTAGGTTCTTTTTTTCTGTGTGTTTAGCTTGTACATCGCCTGCCGCCCTGGCAAGCACAGGCCGCTCGACTGCTTTTTTTTTTTTTTTTGTATGCTGGACAGTTACATTTTGCACTTTATTTTGGGAACCAGTTGGCGACGGAGGAGAGTGGCATTGTTTCGGTTTCGATTGAACAGCCATTGTCTCCGCTCGCACTACGAAGCTTGTGCCACTTCAAGCCTGCTGAAGTTGCCCTCACGTGCATGTGAACATGACTGCATGGCAAAGGCGCCAGCCAGGACGCTTGCCATTCATTGTTTTGCGTTTGCTTACTTTGGACGAAAATCTGGCACGTCGGGAACCAGTTAAACGGTGACAAGCGTTCTTTTCGGAATGGCTCGACAACGCCTATAACACTGTATACTTGTGGGATGTCTCAGCAGTAAAACACAAACAGCGAGTTCTGTCACAATATGTCACAAAGTTGCCTTCGTTTGTCCAACAATTAAAACAAATACTTAATTTTTCTAAGAATATCTGCTCCAAAAGCCACTTTTGCTGCTCCGAAACACTGTTTGGGCTGCTCCAAAAGCCTCCTTTGCTGCCCCAAAACACTGTTCTGACTGCTCCAAAGGCCACTTTTGCTGCTCCAAAACACTGTTTTGGCTGCTCCAAAAGGTGCTCCAAAATGGCTTAGGCCAATCACATCACTGAGAACGCAACTGCTCGAAACCGAAACTGGATTGAGGAGGAAGATGAAGTATAGAGGACGAGAGACAGCTGGTAGAAGTCACGTGACTGTGCAACTTTTCTTTTTTCTTCAATGAACGCATTTGCGGCTTTTTAGAAGCCCCAAAAATGGGTATCATATTTCTTTTTATTTTTCGTATTGAATGTGTGCTCGATGATCCACGACTGATTATATTTGGTGGCTGTCTAAACCATAGAACACAGCACGTGACCACGGAGAAGAGAGTGAGCGCGACTCAAACCGGCCAGTTCTCGATCGGCGGTTCTCGGGCGGAAAGAAACCGAATTTCGATCCGCATATTCCCTTTGAGGCAAATTTCTGTTTGCGTGTTTTCTAATGGTGTCTAGTATATACCGGGCAGTTACAGCGTGCCGACACCGCAATTAGCCTTTATGCGGAAATATGGCTTTGGTCGTGAAGTCTGTTTTGTCTCTTTCTCCTCAAGGGCCCACTGTCCGTGGAGGGCGGAAGAGATCGAGGAGCTTCGGGACCTCTTCACTCAGTACAGGGAGGCCACAGGTGAGGCACCTTCTGCTTCGACGGTTTTTCTTGGAGTCTTATCGACGACTGAGCTCCCGTTAGGGGGATCTTTGGTGGCGTGTGTTAGCGCACCGCAGCTCAAAGCAGGTGGAGCGCAAGCTCGCGCTGCGGAACCCGCGGATCCTGGCCTCAATCGCAAGCCTGGTCCGTTTCGACCATGATGAGCATCGTACCTGCGTATGTTCGTTTCACTACGTGGTGCATGCTAAAGAGCTTAATTACCGTCGTACCTCATCGGCTTCCCGTTCACAACGTGAACCATTCTCTGTATATCTGGGAGGCAGACGACCTCAGGCTGTCGGCACACGCAACGTCTAATCTTGCAACCATTCGCACCACCCAGAGCAACAAACCAGGTTGATGCGTTTTAAAAGGTGTCTGTAGTCTATCACCGAACGAGCAGAGAGCTCGGCCTCAGCTTGTGCACGAAACACAGTATGGCGAAGGTTGCGACGCGATTGACCAGGTAAAGTCCTATTGGCGTGCACGCGCCCGAGTAGCCTATGCCGCAAAGCGTCTACGTTTGCCAGACAGTGCAGCTGAGGAAAAACGAAACAAACAAAAAATGTTTCCTTTTCCATGGCACCGGGGCGCACGCCCTTTCTGCTGGGTGCGTCTGCGCTCACCTTCCGGACGCTGGCTTGAACACCGCGGCACAGATCTTCCGCTTCAACGCGTTCATAAAACTGTCCTTCCCGCCGTTGAGGCATGAAACAAGGCTCAATAACCAAGCAGTGTCTAGACTCTAAAGGCTTGTTCACACGATGCATCTTTTCAATGCGCCTCAGTTTAGCGAAACCGAGATTTCGCGAAATCGGCCTGTTGGACGCGCAAAACCTGTGACTTTTTGACTCACGAGAATTTCACCAAACCTTGTCATCCGCAGCCGGAATGCCGAACGTTTCGCATCAAAATGATACGAAGTACGCACAGTGTGAAGAGACTGTTTTATTCATACCGCTCAATGAACTTCGTCAGATTCGGCTCACTTGGTTTACTAGTCGTGCCAAACTCGGGAAAGACCGCGAACCTCAAAAAACAGGCGGATGATCTCGAAACATTTCGGACATTTTTGCACCGCTAATAATGAAATTATCCTCAGCCATCATGTCTATATGCGGTGCTTGCACCTGTCGCAACCGTGAATCTGCACCGTGCAACCAACCCGTACTGCTAAAGCGCCGTTCACACACCTGCAACCGAGTAGGACCAAGACTCATTGCCCGACGCCCGTACGCACCGCTTCTTCGCTTGTTGCTCGCCATGTTTCCTTTTTTTTTTTCTTTTTTTTTTTTTCGGCTTTGGCTCGGATGCGGAATCGGCCAAAAATCAAACTCCTTCAAAAGCTCGCTTCTCCTCGAAGGTCAGACGTCATAGCGAAGTCGAGCGGCCATTGGCAGCGTCCGCGTTCCTTCTTCGGGTGATTGACAGGCCTCGGTGAGGTTTCAGCGAAAAACGGCTCCCAAAGCGAGGAACACGCGCCATTTTTTTCTAAGAGGCGTGCCACTTTTTCCGTCGTGTTCAGACGGGGAATTTGTTTGCCGAAACCTAGTTTCGCGACACAAGATTCGCCAACAAGATGTGTCGTGTGAATAGACCTTAAGGACCACGCGTAGCGCAAGATCCGAGCTCTACATGACCTAGGGCGACAGAAACCCGCATCGCCCGCATCGGCACCCAGTGCATTTGGGCTGTTGATGCCATAGAGTTATTATATATACGCTAGAGGTTCAAGTTACGCTAGTGTGCTGACGCAAATTGAAGCAGACAGCAAGCAGTCGAAAATTGACTTCCGGTAATGCATTTCTATGGGAAAAAGTGAGTGCATTTTCTCTCGGCGCTCGATCATAAGAGCAAATGTCCCAAATAATTCGTACGTACTAGGTAGCTTGGAACATTTCTCAGTCCGACCGACGAAATAACTGGCCAGTTACGGCGGTTTTCTTTCAAATCCATCGCATTAAAAACGGTGCTTTAATGGCTCCGTACGTGAAGTTATGTGCATTGTCGGCAACTGTCGGACACTGTTAGCGCGAACACGACGTCGGCGCTTTTCAGCATGAGGGATATACGTGCCAAACGAACGAAGTACATTTGGAAATTAAGGGGGACGGCGAGAACTACGCAGTAACAGTGGATCAGTAACTACCCGTGCATGTACGATAAAAATAAATTGAAGGCCACGTAATCTATTCTGATTTTAAATAAGTAATATAACGCTTTATTCTTTCTGCTCTGAGCGAAGCTAGCTGCTTGTTCTCCGTTCAAAATATCACCCGCACGCTCGAGATCTTTGAGAACAAGTGCCCGATAAAAGCTGCCCGGCAGAGAAAACAGTACAAAGAGACACCTTTCATAGCCCACGGACTTTATTCTCTACGTTTTGAATGTTTTAATCTGCTAATGCACGACGGGGTCATTTTCATATAGTGTCAGGACTAGCATATTATCAGTATATAAGCGTCACCGGAATGCTGGCGAGCCTTGAACACACTCTATATTCCTTTCGATTGTAATTTTGCTTTGAATCGTCAATTGTGTTTACACCAGGGTGTTGGAACGAAATGTTTTTCGTTCCGTTTTCATTTTCGTTCCATACAAAAAAGTTCCGTTCCGTTTCCGCTCCGGAACGAAAAAATAATGCTCCGTAACGGTTCGTAACGGTTTCTTTCTATTAAAAAAAAAAAAAAAAAAAAAGAAAAGATCGCAACAAAAATTAAAAGGAACGTAACGTTTATTTTTACACAAAAATAGATAATTCAGGCGCTCTAGAGGAATCCGCGGAAACGACATTGCTTCTGAGATCATGTTCATTGCCTTGAGCATGAGATCATGATCAAGGCACAGAGCATGATCTCAGAAGCAGCACGCCATCAAGTGTGCTCGGTGAAAGGCAAGACCTCTGGTCCGATAAAATAAATTTCAGTGCCGAGAAGGCCCTGAAGGCCCATAGGGATGAAGAAGTACACTTTTGCAACAGAGTCTCAGACTGCCATATCCGTAGAAAAACAAAAGATGGACTTCTACAACGCCGGGTCACAAACTTCCCTCGCTTGCCGTGATCTGTTGTCTGTCTGTGTCGTCCGAAGAAAGCATGGAGGGAGAGGGCGCAAGCAGAGCCGTATATGTAGAGAGTTTGGCCATTCGTTGGGAGGTATAGGAGTCAAATGAGGAGGCGCCATTGGCTGAAAGCTGGCTGGGCGTGTTCCAGGGCGTCTTCAGAAATTCGAATGTGACCAACCAGAAGCCGGAAATAATACCCTGGCGGTGGTCGCGAGAAACAAAGCTGATAACTGCATTGGAGTAACTCTCGATGACTGAAAATATGGTACACGTGATGTTTCAATCACGCTCATCCAAAATGATGTGGAGGAGTGCGACTAGCGGAACGATCGACATAATCCGTACGCCAAGCGCCGAGGGCCGGGAATCCACCGTCCGAGCGGTCACACTCTGTCCGAGCAAACCAGAGTTGAGTGGCGCATTCGTTTCTTACATCTTTCTGCATGATCATGATCAAAACAACACGTGCACCCTATTTTCAAGCATAAAGAGTTACTACACTTCACTCTGACGCGCTTATTAAAACCATATACGAACATAGACCTTTGATCAGAACTGTTTCTCGCTACCACCACTAGGGGATTCTTTTCGGCTTCTGGTTGGTCAAGAGAGCATGCCAAGCCCTCTTTCCGAGTCTGCCGCACGCCCTGGCTCTGCCCGCACCTCCCATTGACCAAACTCTCTACATATACGGCTCTGGGCGCAAGAGCCAAGGAGAGCATTGCGAGCGTGTGGAGGCGTCGCGCCACCGCGCTCTCATTGGTGGGAAGCAATGGCGCCTTGCGTCATGTTTTTTGTTTCTCGTTGTATGTTTGTCTTTGTTTTTGCTATGCTTGTTCGCCCGGAGTTAAGACGTGGGGGCGATGGCTTGCTTGTCTTCTCTTTAATTATGGCACAAACTAACGGCTGTCTCTTCGCTGCGCGAAACGAATTACTGAAATACCTGATATTTTCCCTTGAACCGAAAACCGATAAGAAAATTTTTCGGTTTCACTCCGGAACAAAATAATAAATAACGTTTCGATTACGTTTCCGTTCCGCCCAAAAATATCGTTTTTTTTCGTTTTTCGTTTTTGGTTTTCGTTTTGTTCCGATACCCTGGTTTACACAACTGCCGCGGAACACAGGTTTGGGACTGAAATGTAGCGAAGTTAAACCGTTCACTTATGAAGAAAAATGCGCTAACTAAAGCAATTACACTTTACAGTGTTCATCAAGGTACATACTATTCGGTACGACCCGAAGAACCAAGGTGTTCCGTGTTATTTTCTGGCGAAGAGACAAAATGCACGCGCGTTTTTCCATAGGAGTGCACATGAGCACCGCAAAAGTAAACTGGTTGCTGTCTGCTTCAATTTGCGTCACGGAAGTTGCATAGACACTAGCGCCGGTTGGACCTCTAGCGTACATTATAATAATTCTATGGTTGATGCTCGAGCCTTTCATTCGCGGTTTGTTGCCAGCTGATCCTGCTGCTCGACGGTGGTGAAGCGGCGAGAGTGACCTCTCAGCTAAATGTGAATCCTCGTTCATCCAGTTATCCGCTGTCAAAGTGTGGAAGATGTCCAACGTGTAGTGAGGGCGGGAACTACGAGCGCTTTGCCTTGCTTCTATAACTGAAACCAGAGCAGCGAGATGCGTACTCCCATATGACGGAAGCAATAAGCTTCAACAGGTCGAGTACGTCACCGGGGATGTAGGCGAGGTGGTGCACACTGTTTAAACGCTTGCAGTATCCACGAGTGCTACCGGAAAAATGACGTCAACAGAGAAGGAGCTCGCGATTCAGCATAATGCAGTGCCACGGGCCCGTGAATTTTCAAAGTTCGGGGTAATGGCGGTATAAAAAAAAAACGCACCAGCGCCACTTTAGTGATCACGAATTACACCGGTCACAAACTCCCAAGCTCCACCGC